AGGAGGTGTCAACTGGTCGGGCGTCTTTGGAACATGTTGAAGCAAGTTGGAAGGGTCCTTGAAGTCATACACTCAGGAGAAGACATGGGTTCCCTACCATAAAAAAGGAATTGACATGATCAATTGGCATCTATATAACGGTATCAGAAGAACAATGAACTGCGATAGCTCAAAGCTGTCGTTTCTCCACTGTCGATTCATGTCGATTCACAATGGAAACAGACAGACGTCAAAGCAGACGCAATGTTTTTGCATCAGAGACCGGATCAACGCATATCAACGCTGGATCGGTCCCCCTGAGGTGCCGGGGCATTTCTACTCTCAGCTCTATGGAGATCCAGGTCTCCCACCACTGCACCTCAAGGACGTCGCTGCGGCATAGCTGAGATCAGATGTGAAACGAAAAGCACAAAGGGGTGAGGTTCAGACATCAGGTGCTGGTGACACATGTGACACCACCAACACCGCCACATGAGAACAGAATTAATTAGACAAAAAGAGACCCCGTTGAAATCCTGCTAGATAATATTAGATAATGCGCGAAGATCGCTGGCTTCGTGACACCATGACAAGACGCAACGTGCTTTGTGTGGTACGTGCTACGCCGCTGCAGGACTTCTCCGAGACGCGTTCGCTGCGGGGTGTGCGGCTGGGTATCTTCTGGGACTACTTCAACGATGCAGAGGTGCCTATCCTGCAGAGCTGTCGCAAGGCGGTGGAGGCGTTGGAGGCGTTGGGCGCAGAAGTGGTGCCCATCGCCATTCCGCATCTAAGGAGTTTGCAGGTGCGGGGGGCATCTGGGGGCACGTCGCCTGCAGTGATCCAAATGTGCAGTAGTATATAGGTAGTGGTAGTGGTAGTAGTAATAGTTAATATAGTAGTAGTCGTCGTCGTCGTCGTCGTCCTAGTAGTAGTAGCAGTAGTTGTTGTTGTAGTTGTAGTTGTAGCAGTAGCAGGAGCAGCAGCAGCAGCAGCAGCAGCAGGAGTAGTAGTAGTAGTAGTAGTTGTTGTTGGTGGTGGTGGTGGTGGTGTTTGTTGTTGTGGTGCATGTCCGTCTTCATGGTTTTTGTGAGCTTATACGGCTATACTTGCATGTGACAGGAGATGGAGGAAAACCCGGTGTCAGCTGTACCATCATGTGACATTACATGTGATTCTCCAACCATGTGCTACCATGCGCTGATGAGTAGCTCACAAAGATTCGCGGAGGTGGCTCATGGCTTTGTGGTATCCGTGGAGATCACTCAGATTTTAGGAGACCTCCTGTACAACAAGCACCAGTTTCTTGGCACAACCCGTCCGTTACTGACACACCTCTTACTCAAGTCACTCTTGGAGGAGGAGGACAGGGCTAGACTAGACCATCAACTGTGCTGTCAACTAGGGCCCAGGGAAGCTTCATGGGTCCTTGCTTGGGTCAATCGGAATTTCTGACCCTGTGAATTTGGGGCTTCTTGGGGGCCTTTGTTGCTGGGGCCAATTGGGTTTGAGCCTACGGCCCAACCTCATCCACGCAAGAATGGACCAGACGAGGGGTCCAACTCTTTATGGTCCCGAATGTTCACCCTGTGTCCAACCATGTGCACAATGCCCCCGATTCCCCGGTCCTCAAAGGTTCACGTTTATGATTGATTCCACCAGGTTTCAGATTTGTCCAAATGCTTAAGACTATCGAAAATCCAGCCCACAGAGTGAGAACCGGAAGTGGATGTGTTTTCCCTTCTCCATTTCCCCATGTTTCCCTAGATGTGGCACCTGCCGTGGCTCCTGATAGCTCGTGATAGCTCCTTCAGCTTCTCAGGCTGGAGCCCTCAACTCGGATTCAGCTGGCGCTGGGCACCTCTATGGCTGGACCCGAGATCCAAGCAGGGAACATCCTGCGGGGCTGGGCGCTGCAGTACCTCCGCCAGGACGATGTGCCGGGACGGATCGGGACGGGCACTCGGTGCCCGAGTCTTGTTTGGTGGGGAGCGACGATGCCTGCTTATATACCTTAGTCTATTTTTAGTCGTAGAGGTTCCGTTTTCAATGTCAAAGTGGTGGAGTGGGAGTTGGTGACTAGAAGGACGCGACAGGAATGGAAAGCGATTTGGCACATTGTGGGAGAAGCTCCCCTAATCTGCAGCACAAGCACGGAGAGCATCCTGTTTTCACTGCAGTAGTAAGCCATTACCGGTAGGCCGGCGGATTTAGAGCCCATAAAGGGCCACACTTCATAAACACTATACAAAGTGGAAACGTTGATCTACTCAAAAGGCTTGCAGTTGTGTGGCGAAAACCTAAGGACACAATTAAACCAAGACTGGCGTTTCCTTGTAGGGTTGCCCCAGCCCTCATTTAATGCCAATGCCAATCCTTCCAACAAGCCAGGGAGAGATGCTTCCCTCACTCAATGGGCTTCCACTCCTGGTAGGAACTGGGGCTGTAGGCCGTAAAAACAAGTTATTTGCTACGCAATTGTCGCAGCTAAGCTAAGCCCCCAAAAAAGGTAACAGTGAACTGAACTGCCCGAGATGTCACCATCATTCTACTCCTCAGATTGGTCGTGGCCGGAGGTCTCTTTTTCGATTACAGAGCGGTGACAGGGTGATTGCCCCACACTTGCCCCAATGGCAGATGGGACCCAGTCCAACAGACCTATGAGACCTGATAACCACAGAAGGGAAGCCTTTGCCGTGCGCAGGAGATCTTCAAGAAGATGAAGATCTCCGCCATCATTACACCAACCTTGGCCATGACTCCGCCCGCCATCCCAAAGGATGCCTTCTTGACCGGTGAAAGTAATACCACCTTACTTATACAACTCATGAAGTACATCTTCCTGGGCAACCTTTGTGGCTTCCCAGGTCTCAGCATTCCGGTGGGCTATGACGACACCACTGGCATCCCCATCGGCCTCCATGCCTGTGCAGACCACTGGGATGAGGCGGTTCTGCTCCGCCTGGGCGAAGTTTTGGAAGGCGCCCTGGACCAGCGGAAGACGCCGCCCAGCTTCGTAGACCTCCTCGGGAAGAGCTGAGTCAGACCGGAGTTGAGTGTGGTTTTGAAGTGACACCTGTGACAGGTGGAGCAGAAGAGAAGAGGGCAAATTGAATCCGTGAGCTCCGGAAGCATTTCTGGAGGAGGATTTCTTTTGAGCAGAAGATTAGCTGCGTAGGGGAGGTCCCAGAGATGTTTTACAGAGATCTTGCTGGGGTTCACATCAGTCAGTTTCAGATGCTCTTTGTGCTCGGTTTCATACAGACCTCGGCCACTGGCGCCGCTTCTTACTCCGGATGGCGATGAGAAAGAAGATGCTTGTCGACACGGTAACCAGTCTGGGATGTGGACAGGAATGAGGACATTCATCAAAGGTGGCACGACCACGTCCTCGTCATTCCTCATCCAAAGAAACCCTGTAACATCCTGTAACAAAACCATCCGTCGTGCCATAATGATACATAATTATGCTTATCGTCCAAATCAATTCAGCCCGTCCCTGTCTTGGCCCGACTTGACATGGCAGGCGCCAGAGACTGAAATTCCACCCGTCCCGGAGAAGGACAAGAAACCACAGCAGAACCAGCAACCGGAGCAAACGGAGCAACCGCAGCAACCGCAGCTGGTGAGTTCTGGTGAAGCTGCTGGTCAGTGGGGTGGCACAGGTGGGTCAAAGAGCCGCCCAGTGGGCCGCGCTTGAATCTTTATGAAGGCCATGTGGATATCTGAAGATTTTAAGGTTGTATAACGGTTATATACGGTTATATAGATGCTCACACAGCTTGTGCTACGATAGCTTTGATCAAACGGCACTAATATATAAACATGGTACAAATGGGTTGTGTGGCTTTTGGGGGTGGATGGGACATGCCATTTGCACTTGGTAGATGACAGCTTCTCATTGCCTGTCAGTTTGGGCAATCAGGTGAAGAGAAGAAACCGTTTGATGCAGGGTTCAGAGGGTATAGAACCTGTGGGACGTTGAACTGGATCCTTTATTTATAATTTATAACGTTATCATCCTTAGATTCTTTGGGGCAGACGGCAGGCTGCGCCACAAAAAGGCCTCGATCTACAGGGCTCTTTGCATATTCTGACATATTCCGACCGACATGGCCTGACGTTCATGTTCTGAGCTTTGCCTTCAGGACTTCAGGACATGACAACATGAATCCTCATGCGGCCCATCCCCCATCTGCACGTCGCTCCCACGGCCGAGGCCGAGTCCGACGAGTCCCGAGGAACCGATGGATCCCGAACTCGAGGAACGGCGATGTCGGCGAGCCGGCGAGTTGCACGGAAGCGAGTCCGGAGGAACCGGTGAACCGCTTGTCACGGAAGCTTCAACCTTTTCGTGGCAGCTTCAAGTATGAAGGGCTGACAATCGCCAGAGCGGGGTGCAAGAGGTAAGTATAATATGACTATAATATATAAAATGTAATGCCATGACCCTGCTGATCCCTATAGTGCGTAATGTCAAGCTATGTCATGCAGATCGGCTTGAGGAGGAAAGCGCGAACGCACCTGCCCCGCAGAACGTGCCTTCACCGCCTGGGCGCCTGTCAGCGATGGATGATGCGGCAGTGCTTGGCAAAATCTTACACAAAATGGTATACTCAGGTATACTCCTGATTCCAGCGCTGCTACTGTTGGATGGTTCATTTCAGTGCTTTTTGACGAGAGGTGGGTCGAGGTGGTGTTGGGTCTCTCGGTGTTTTTGCTGCTTTGACCGCTCCACCGACGAGCGAGGCATCGTCCCCACGCGCCGAGGCAAGAAATATCGCTGATATCGCCATCAATTCCAATCCACCAGAAAAAGGGGAAGAACAAGATTGCTCCTGAATTCATGGCGCCAACTGCCGAGCCATCGAGAGTCAAAAGGGGCGAATGTTGGCGGCCCGTGTGTGGTGAAGTACGGAGAGCACTAAATAGCACTAGTGTATGGACATACCAAGCAACCGGCGGTCATTGAAAGACAGGGCCGGCTCGAGCTCCAGACAGCTGGGCAGACTCTGTTCCGCAGGGTTTGGCTCAATTGACAGGACACATCATGGCGCAGTCCAGTGAGGAGAGGCGGTCACTAGGGAAATCGGCGGAAGCGTCCTGGGGGCGTGATTGGCGTGGAAGTGGGCCGAGGGAAAAACTGGCAAATTCATGAAAAAACAAAGTGCTGTCCGTTTGTGGTTTGGACATGTTTGGAATATATAGACGTTTGGCTAGTGGAGTAGATTCAAGCATTGAACTGTTTGAACTTAAACTTGAGAACTGAGGAGTTGAACTGAAGTAAGCCCTCGTGACATACAGCTGGTGTTGATGACCAAACAGGGTGTGGAGAGGGTCTGAGCCGGGTCCCGGAGATTCAGCAGAAAGGGCCGTGTTGAGCTTCATATCGTTGGGATCGTTGGACAGTCCTGAGCTCACCTACTGCAGTCACAATATTTCACAATTGAATATAATTGAAAGGGGCCAGGGAAGGATCAGGAGTAGGGGTAGCGATGGCCTCCAACCTAAGAGCAATAGTCAACTTGCCAAAAGTTCCGTCGCTGATCTTCGCCGTGTCAAAGGACCGTTGCCACACTGACAACCAGGCTTCTGGTGTAAAGGAGCGGTACAGTGCAATCATTTATGGCTACGCACTCGTGCACCAAGTTGGACAAACACCATGGTCGCCTCCACGTCATCGTGTGGGCAGATTCTTCCACGCGGCAAGTTCAACCTTTTTCTTCAGCGCCCACTCCGTGCCGGAAAATTATTGTCATTAGGGAGCCAGACCCATCATTTGTTCCCAGAGCCACCGCAATATCACAAGTGTCGTCGCCACAGCCTCGTCAGCGTACAGATATTTCACCATAGCAACGGCAGAAGATCTCCCCAGCGTGCAGCAGACTTATTGGCTCATCTAGAGGGGGAAGGTGCGAATCCAACGTAGCGCACCTGTTGTGAGCTACCCCAGGGTAGAATTTAGACAATTTAGGGGAGGAAGATGCGATTCCAAAGTAGCGCGCCTTTTGTGAGCCGCCCGAGGGTAAAATCTAGAGGAAGAGGAAATGCCATGCCAATGTAGCGCAGCTTTCGTGAGCCACCTGGTCTTTCCAGCGGTTGTCCCTCTTCCCCGTCGTTGAATGAGAACAGTGATCTAGCTCGCATCACCTGTGAGAGGAGGAATTCGATCCCCTTTTGGCATCGAACAAAACCGTAATATGGCGAAATGTGTTTTAAACGTGTTGACAAAACGTCTCCCACCTAGTAGCGATGGCCTCCAGCCTAGTAGCGACGGCAACTAGGGCAAGAACAGCAATGTGGACATGTGACTTACTGTTGGAGAACCCATTGTTGCACAGCAAAAAGCACCAGGCTTCCCACCGTGTAATGTGATTCAGGTCTTTGGCTAAAGGGAACTGTTGTTGAAATTGAAATGATGGCCATTGACTTGTTTAGGGTTGACGGGCGGAGAAGATCCTCCACCACCCTAGAAAATTGTCGGGGCACTCAACCTACAGCATTCGGAGCCTGGATGCAGAGAACAGCATCGCACAGGAGACGCAGGTGACGCAGGAGGCGCAGGACCCCAAGCCCCAGCGATGCGCGCTCAAGACGAGGTGGGGGTCGTTCAAGTTCACAAGTTGAGGGAAGAGATGGAAGGAACTCAAGTCAAAGCTGAAGAATTTCCCGAGAAGTCGTGCACTCACGTGGGCTGAGCTATTAGAATGTCATAAGAATTCCATGAGAGATCAAGTGTTTCGAGTGGTCGGTGCTAGTTCTCCGAGGTGTAGTGTTAGATGATTCCGGCAAGGCATTGTTTTGCTGTTGTGGGTGAGGGGTCTTGATAACTGCCCATGTGTCATTCATGCACCCAGATTCCTGCAGGAGAATGTTGTTTTTTGCATCAATTCTCCACCTCAATTATATAAACAAGATCAACTCACCCATGAGTAGGTTCTATTTGGCAACCGCTCTCCGCCGGGGCCGCAACAGTCCTCATCTTGCCACCTCAGGCTGGGTCATCAGCTTCCTCACCGAGTCTTCTTGGACAACTGGCAGTCCGGACTTACCGTGGCGATGGCCCCCTGGCGTGGACTAGCCGAAGCGAAGCAATTGGTGGCCGTTCAAGTGAGTGTTATACTTTGTGCGTTCCGCTGTGTTCACGTGAATGGTGGGGACATGTTGGGTAAAAGTGGGGACAGGGTCGGTCGAGGCGATGATGTAGGGGTCAAATGTGTACAGTATGGTGATGTTGCCTTGCGTTATATCAAAGCTGGACCAATAGGTGTTAAAAGTTAAAAGACCTACAATCCATAGCTGGCCTTCCAACATCCACCAGTTCTTTCTCTTTGTGGCTGTGAATGCAACAGAACAAAATGAACAACAATGACCTTTTCCTTTGCCACATGCTTCCCCATCTCATCAGATGCCCAGGTGAGTGTCCCCTTGTCCATCTCCTTGGGTATCGCCTCCGCCGGCGGCGACCCGAGCGCACCTTTGATGGGCTCCATGGCGTCGATGTGAATGCAGGGTGGGTGGGTGGGTGCCATGCCGCGAGGAATCAGCTCCAGTATATATAAATGTTAAACAACATAATTGACGCAGCTCCTGCAAGCACTGTTAGTTTGATGCTGGACTTTCTCCTACAATGATCTCCAAGACGATGCTGGCATTCTGATTCAAACAACGATTATATAGCCGTCTTGTGGGATGCCTTACAGGTTTGAGAATGGATGAGAGAGACCAAAGACACACAACCTGTCGTGGTGTTCATGTGGCATGGCTTTTTGGTTCTCACCTGAGACTGTAGTCAACTGAAATCAAACCCATTCCAGGAAACCGGGGTCGGTGATGATTGGGCAGATGCAGTAAGGGTCGTGCCGCAATAACGGTAGCAGACCCATTTCAACACTGCTTGCAGTATGGACGACGGATGCTTGTGGAGGATGGAGGGCATTCAAGGTGATGAGGTCCTCTACCACCTTATAGACCATTTAAGAATGACCGAAGAGGGGGGATTCACTTCGTCGTTCCGCTGTTTCAGGCGTTTCCACGGCCTTTTGGGGCGGCCTTTGCGCTTCGATCTTCAGCTCCAGCGACTTCAACATCATTGGCCCAGCGGGAGACCCGGCGACGGCGAGCGTTCGCGAGCATGTGCGGGGATGCTGCCGCATGCGGGGAGCGAGCATGCGGTAGCATGCGGAACGTGTTCGTCTTGGGGAGTCGTCCGGATGCTGGGACGGTGAGAGAGGTCCGTGTTGTGTGTTATTTTGTGTGTGTGTGTGCCACAGGCTACCGCCTGCAGCCGCCGACCCCAAGGGATGGTCGCGGCCGGGGCCCTGCCAGTGGAATTGTTTTTTCATAGAATTGGTTACGTTTTCCGCTGGATTTGTAGGATGTCAAAGGTTTTTGCAGCATTTACTTAGGAATGCTCTTGCTTTTTGCTAGAGCCTGTCACGTTTTCTGCTGGATTTGTAGGAGTTTCAAAGGCTTTTCCATCATTTCCTCTGGTTTATTTGGGTATCTGTACAGGCATCGTGTCGGTTTTTGGGTTCCCAGGTTTGCCCAGAAAATTGCTAACCCATTTTCGTACTCATGCCTTTCATGCGCTTTACAAAGTCCTGCCAGTGCCCGTGGTTTGTCCTAGATGTTGTAACGTCAAAGGCTTTGCTCAGATTTACACATGCCTGTCAGGCGCCCGTTTCCACGCCATTTGGCGTGTTGGTTCTAGGATGGAGCAGTGCAAACGGAAGCTTGGGCAGGTGATAGGAAATCTTTAGAGACACGATATGTTCCTGCAACACCCAGGGAGCAGGAATAACGCTGTCCAGCGGAAAACGTTTGCAAATGGGGGAAAATAGGTCAGCTGCTTTCTTTACAGATATGGGAAAGAAAGACCCAAGGCGGAAAACATTACAAGGCGTCTGAAAATCCTACCAAACCAGCGGAAAACGTTACAAAATCTAGCACAGACCATAGGCGCTAGCAGGAACCCG